GTCTGGAATTCCTGTTCCAGCAGCAAGGTGGAATGTTACAGAGGGAGGGACTACATCAAATCAACTTGAAATCTTATTTATTTTACAGTACCAAAACTGCCACTGTCAGACACAAACTCTGTCCAACAATGCCACTTCCATGTGGAAGGGCTTCCTTCATATTAAATATCACCACAGGAAGAGCAGCCCAGAGGGAAATTCTGTTCCAAAGCTTTCTGAGAGTGGCCTGAAGCCCTCTGGGGCAGGTGTAGGTAAATCCCTGTGCTGCTGCAGTGCTGTCCCTTTAGGCCTGCACAGCAGCCTAGGCCAGGCTTTAGCCGGGCATGGATCTCACCAGCACTCAGCAAAACTCAGAATATTTAACCTGCAAACTTCCCAAAAGCAGCAGCACAAGGAGCAGAATAACAAAAGCAGAGGCTGCCCAATGCATTTGGGAAGTTCCAATTCTGGAGTTTGGTTATTGGAATTCACAGATTCTGGGTGGAAGTGGTGCCATGGCTCCTGCTCTGCAGCTGCCTCTCTGTGCCTCAGGGAAGTGACCAAATCTGAGCATATAAAGGAAATATTTGCTTTTCTCTTGTGTGCTGGCCAAATTCTGTTCCCTTCAGAGGTGGTACACGAGGAACCAACAGCACCTTCCACCCTGCCCCAGCACAATAAGGACACAGATGTTCACTGCAGACTCCACAACAATTTTTCTTGTGTTTGTAAGGGAAAAGAAACAACATTACAGCATTCCTCACACTGTGCTAGGCCTAGATGTTCTCTAGAACTAAACCCCCAGAATATAAAACTCTATGCACAATAAAAGGACATTTGTTCAAGCACACCATGGTACTGCCAACTAGCAGTGTTTGAAAGTCATTTCAACTTCTCCATCATCCTTTAAAAACTCATTTTCTTCAATTTCAACAAACCTGACCAAAACACAGATGAGGATTTGACATTGGTCACTCCTTACAAAGCAGGGCTCAGCTCAGCCCCCCCAAAATCTGAGCACACATCTGAGGGTTAATTCCTGCTTGTTCTCAACGAACCCAACCCTGCCAGCAGCTCCCTCCCCAATTCCAGGGACACTCCAGCCCTTTTTCCAGGGATTTTGTGGTCTGTGGGACCAGCTTTGAGCAGCCCCAATAAAGCAGAAAGTGATAAAAATCACAAGATTAGGTGGGATTTTTTTTTTTTTTGTTTCTTTTTTTTGCTTAAAGAACTGTAAACATTGAAAGCCTCGAGTCAACGCTGCTCAGCCTTTACACACAATGCTCAGCCAGACAAAAGCTGCAGGAATTCTACTGGGAAAACTGGGATCTGGGGAGAATCAAGTGCTTTAACCCTTCTACTGCTAAACACACACAAGGTCTTGGGGGAAAACCACACGACTTGGTACAATTTCTAGAAACAGAATTACAGTACTGACATTAAAAACAGTTTCTAAGGCTCAGACTGAGTCCAAAAAGGCCTCTGGTTGGGTTCATTCAAGCTCTTATGTTTGGACTGCATGAATGCAGCATAAGAATGATTGCAGCAAGACATCCACAGGTAATTTCTACATTTATTTTTGTTGGTGGGTTTTTTTTTTTTTTTTTTTTTTTTTTTTACCAAAAAAGTTATGTGCAACAAATAGAATTCATACATATTTACATGGTTTTTTTTTACCTGTTAGCAAAATTGTATCCTAAACCTCCAGTAGAGAATCTCTCAGCCTATATTGAGAAAAGGAACACCTGCCCAATGACTGCATTTTAAATGGGTGTTGGATTTGAAAGCCCTGGGAATAAATAGTTGATGGAACATACTATACAGAACAAACACCTAATATTTAGGCCATGCTTAACACAGTTTTGTGGTAACAGAATACTTCATATCTTTTCTGGACCAGTTTAAACAACATTGGCAGAACCAAAGCCAAGCTCTGATCTCAGCCCACATAAATGAGGAGCAGAACTGCCTGAAGCACCTCACCAACCTCCTGGAACAACTGAGACTACAGCAGCACAAAAATGCCAACTCCAGCATTCAGAAAGCTCCTCAGCAGAGATCTGCTGTCCCTTCAGATCCCAAAGGTGCTCAGGAATGTTTCACTGGCCTCAGTGTCACAAATGTTTCACTGGGAGAAACTTCCAAGAATATTCATTTCCTCCCTGGCCTTAAAGAGTAGCAAGTACCTTACAGTAAGAGGATTTCAGGAGTGGTGAATTCCTAAGCAGGGTTTGGGATGAGGTTTTGTTGCCTTTCCAATCCGCCCCTCACTGTCAAATTTCCAACTCAGAATATTCCATGATCCTAAAGGAATTTTGGGATTCTGAGAGAGCCAAAGAGGGGCAGGAAGAGCCCAAATTCAGAACCTCTGTTTGGATACTGTGAATTTTATCCCTTCCATTCTCCTGAGTGCTGAAACCACAACAAGGATCTCTGTAACACCCCCTGTCCCTTGCCAGCCCAAATATCATTCACCTGCCTTTACCCAGACTCCTGCATCCTTGGGAAATTTTAGGATTTGCCTTTGGATTTGGAAGGATTAAAACCAGTATCAAGCACACATTTGCCACCACATTTTGGCTGGGGCAGGCAGGGGGGCACAGCTGCACTCCTGATTTCAATCACAGCCCATTTTCCTGAAGGAAAATGCTGTTTCTATCATTGGGAGCAGCAAGGAAAGAGTCAAAAGAACTGGAAGCAGAAAGGTCCAAATTTCTCCTGCTAAGATAATTCTGCCCTTTATTCAGGCCAACTGCATTTCTGAAGCACGAGAGAGAAAGAGAAGAAATCAGGGCCATTTCTAGCAAATCACTCCCAGTAAAAAGGAACTGCAAGGGAAGCACACAAGCCAAGAGTGTTCACAATTAAGGATCAGATTTGCAAAGCTGTGCACAAAGTGTGGCTGCAAATTCTCCCAGAGCCCAAACTCCAGCTCCATTTGCTCCCTCTGTGCACACTAGCAAGGACTGCTGGAAATCTGGCCCTAAACATTTTTACTAAACAAACTGAATCAACAGACTATGCCCACACAAACAAGCACAAGACACAGTGAAGTCAACACAATACTTTCAGCTGATGGGGCTTTTTCTCCTCTTTTTTTCCCAGAATTGGACCAAGTACTCATGGATTAGACTTGTCTCCATGGCTGCTTGCTCTGAGACAGGAGCAACTTTCAGGCAGCACATGTTCACCTCTTCCTTGGATGAAAAGAAGATGCCTTTAGTGTAGATCACAGGAATGCATCGAAATAAAATCTGTACAACACATGAAACACTGCTACTGCCTCAGGGCTTGGGAGAGAACAAAGCCAAGCCTTGAGGGACCAATTCAACATCATTCATTCCCCTTAATATCAAAGTGGAAGGCATTTGAGAGACAGAACTAAACATCAAGACAAGCTTTAACTATACTCTGGTCAATACAAAACTCATTTAATGGATTGTTGGCTAAAACTGTCAGACGAGGGACAAGTCATTTAGTGTTACATGCAACAGATGTTACTCACACCACACAACTCTGTACAGAAAAGCAGTTTCCACCTCTACCCTTGGTGCAAACCAGAATTATTTCAGTAGTAATTTAAATATTAATTTTGTGAATTTGATCTCCAACCTTGTTTTGCTCTATGGAAACACTGCTCGTTTCACAGTCAAGTTTATCCTTAGTGTTTAAAACCACTTACAATGGAAGTGTCTCTCTGACATTCATGTTTGAGAATGAAAATGCTAAAAGGAGTTAAATTAGTTCTTTAAATAAATGGGTATGCAGTTGGAATTGTTCATATTTCGAACTGACAAGGGCAAAAAGCAGCACAGCACCAATTACAGAAAGTAGCTGAACCCACACATTTTGGTGTCACACAGTCTGAAACACAAATATTTCACTTTTCCAAATCACATCAACCTTTTAAATTAAACTGAAAACAATACTGCTACCACTTCTCAGTCTAAAAACTAAAACCAGATCTCTTAATACTCTTCTATCCCCAGCGAGTTTGCTGGGAATTTTGTTTGTTCATTTTTAAAGCAAGGACACTTCTGCCTGCCAAGTTCAACACAAAGTATTTGGTTTAAGATTTGAAGACAGAAGGCACTTTTAACATTCAGCCTTAGAATACTGAGTGCAGAAACAATGTGTACAATTTTGTTCCTTTGTTTAAATCTGCAGTTTAATATTTTTTTCCCCAATTAGTTCTTAGAAAGAGCAATGATAGCACTATATCACATTTCATTTTCAGGAGCACATTGACTTACTTATCCCATTAAACAGGTTGCCCTTCCAAGAGATCTTCTCTGTGTGTGTGTGTCAGGCCTAAAGTTCATTTCCCAATATAGCACAAACCAAAGATCCTGACCAAGATCAATTAAGGAACTGCTTTTTCAGTGCACTGCTTGGTTATCCTGCTCACTCAGTGGTTTCCACTGCAAATTGCAATTCTATACTGCAGCATTCACAGAACATCAAACATTAGTAACACTGGGTGGCTGAGCACAGCTTCAAATGGAACAGCTCTGCTTGGAAATGGAGTCCTCTGAAAGAACACTTCATCCAACCCCCAATCTGCAAATCAGCTTTTCATTGACCACATGAAGCTATTTTTGTTCTGTACAGAAATTAATGAGGTTGTCGTTTAATCAGCATACTTCAGGTTTCAGCTTTAATTCCATTTTTGTTACTGGAGACAAAAAAAAAAAAAAAGAAAAAAAAAAAAAGAAAAAAAAAAGAAGAAAAAATGGAACCAACCCCAAGCATCATTCTTGTGAAAGCACAACAGTGAGAGCAGCAACTCCATGTTCTTTAGAGGTCACTTCTTCCATCGTGTCAGTCGACTCTGAGCTGAACCCTCTGACAGCTCCTAACCAAACCCAGGGGACAGTGAGTTCTCCAAGGATGAAACCAAGAGTTCTAATTTTATTTACAGTATAAGTCCTAGTCAAATCTAAGTCCATCAGCTAAAAAAAAAAAAAAAAAGAAAAAAAAGAAAAAAAAAGAAAAAATACACTTATTGTAAACATGGCAACATTAAATATGGTGATGCTAGTCTAGAATATTTCATGTCATGATCACATCTTGTTATACCTGAATTTATATACAGGATATTTTATAGCAAGTGTTACCCACTTCACAAGTGGAGGGGGAAGAGAGAGAGTCTAGGTTTTGCTGTGGCTAAAACTCCTTCAAAGTAAAGTTAAAGCTTGTCTTTGATTGTTATAGAGCTTTCTTTCATAACCGCATTGAAACTGAAGATTAGCACAGAGAAATTATCTGGGGCCCCTTGAAATTTATAATTCAAAATTTCCATTATGATTCTCGTGAGGGGGAAAGGGGGAAAGGGGGGGGCAAAAAGTGTCTGATATGGAGAATAAAAAAATTACTGCAAAATAAACTTAAATGGAAGTTGGGTCTTCAGACTGTCAGTCAAAAGTTCCAGCAGGGGTTATTCCTGTTTGGGTTGGAGTTGCCTCTTCCAGGCCTCGTTCAAATAAACTAGTCGTTTGTAGTTGATGATAAAGAGAATGAAGTTCAGCAAATATGTGAGCACGCAGACAATGCAAAATTCCTTCAGCACGAAGTACAGAATGTATGCCAAGTACAGGGACCCTACTACAGACACTATGGAGGATGTCATGAGGATTAGAGCTGCTACTGCACTTGCTGTCATACCTGCAACAAGAGAGACACAGTTACTCACCCCTCTCCACACACAGGGCAAAAGTGAATTCAAGCTCAGCCACTCAGCAACAGTTCCACAAAATTCTGGTTAAAACACCACCTGGGTATTTGGAGAGGAATATCTAAAGCTCTGCCTGACAGCCCTGTGATAAGGAGTGTGTGTAGGATTAACCATCCTCATATTCCTGAGTTATAGGGAAATTTCTGGTGGTCAGGTTATTTCTGTCAGGATTAACAGCTTTGTAGCAAACCACAGGGTTACCAAGAAATATATAAAATTATATTTCATGCACTTTTTTGCCTGCTCTCTCCATTACTCCTCCAAAACTTGCCCATTTCATTTTTATTCCCTCTTTTCCACCATGCAATCCAATGCCAAATATACTGGAGTGAAAATACCAGCACAGAAACTGTCTTCACACTTGGATTATTAATAGCATATCAGGAGAAAATGCAATTACTCTCGTTATCAGTTGGGTTTTAAGCCCTTTGGACAGATGTATCATTAGAGTGCTGCTAAAAAAACCCCGAGATAGAAAAATCAGAAGCATTTATCTGGTTTCCTGCAGATTGTGCAATGGATATTGCTCTCCTCCTTCATGCCCACAGCCCTGCTTTGAGGCTCTGAAGTGAATGAATACTTACCAAGTAGCATTTGTAGTATATAAAACACCAGGCCAAAAACACTGTTGGACTGATTTATTGCACTGTCCTTTCCAAAGATGGAACCCAAGAGACCGAATCCTCGACCCCATCTGTAAAACAGGGAAACTAATTAACTCTTATTTGCCCACCTCCTGCTTTCCAGCAGCATTTCCAGTTCAGGGCTCTTGGGGAAAGAAAAGGACACAAATTCTGACATGATTTATGTGCTGTTCTCCTGGAAAACCAAGCAGCAACAGGGGGAGCACTGGGCACAGCTTTCTCCCACACTTGCTGATTAAAGTTGTTTGACACACCAGGAACTGCTGAGGGAACTGCACTGAACACCAGCTCTGCTTCCCAGGGCTGGAGTTTGGAGCTGTTTTGTCACATAAACATTTCCTTCCCCCAGTGACAGCTTTAGCAGCTCTCTGCACCACAGTCACCTGGACACAAGGTCACTACAAAGCTGAGGCAAGGATTTGTTCCACTCACTTTGTCTGCATCAGAGCAGGAGAAGAACCAGGACACAAATCTGTGGCTCAGCTGCTCCTCAAACAGCTCAGGAGGAACCCAAATCTGTCAAGCACACGAGCTGAGCATGGCACCATCACAAGATCCCCAGCTCTTGCACAGTGTGACACTTTGAACCAACACCTGAAATCCCTACAAAGTGACTTTCAACTTTCCAGTGATAAGGCAGAAAGCAGCACAAGCCCTACAAAACTGCTGCTGCAAAAGGAGGAGGAAAGATTAAATTAGCAATTGTGTTTGTGCCAGAAACCATTAATTCCATGCCCTAAGGCAGATCATGCCATTATTTGTAAAAGCAAAGTGAGAACCCTATTTATTAGTGTCACTTGAAAATATGAAGTTATTTTGTTACTCCAAGGTAATTTAACTCACAAGAGCACACTGGGATATCTGCCAGCAGATTTTTGGAGCATCAAGCCAAGCAAACAAATGTAAGGTTTGCTTCACATTAGCAGCTGAACCGAGCAAGGTAACAAAGTGCCAATCCTCATCCTGCAGCAGCAGGAAACTCCAAGGAAAGGGCAATTTTCAGCAAGTTTCCTGTCCTAGAGGCAATGGCCCTGCTGAACCAGGACACAGCTCAGGTTTGTCCCTGCACATGGCAGGAATGGTGCTGATGTCACTCACCTGGGACCTGCCATCACCACATCATAAGCAGTTTTCTCAGAGAAAGAGGCACCACAATGAGGATAATTTCATATCATCTCCAAAACACTTTCTAGTCTCACAGCCATCTGTGCAAAACTCATCATTTTAATTGCAGACTAATTCTGAATTTACTATTAATACTCTTGTGCTCTTCTCCCCAAGAAACCCAGCAGGTCCCAATTCTTAGAAAGCAGATTTGCTGTACAAACAGTCAAAAATTAAACACACTTTCAGCTAGTTTGGTTACAAATCTTTTAAAAGTGGAACTTTTGTGCCAATCTTAAGCTTCAAGGCAGCACAGACAATGAGGGGACAGAGCCTCAGCATCCCAGAGCTGCCAGGAAAAGCAGAGCAGAACTGCCTGGCTCTCTGCTCTCACCCCAGGGCAACTCTGGGGCTATGGAAGTTACAAAGAATTACAAAGAATCTCAGTTATGGTGAGATTTCCTTCCACACCTCAAAGGTTATCTGGATTTTAAGTGAGAAATGTTAATTTTTTAGCCTTCCTGATGGTCACAGCACATGTAACAATTGTCTTGTGTTGTCCAAATTCCAAAGGCTGTATTAAAGAGCCACACAAATACATTAAAGAAATTATCATAGTAGTATATAAAACTACTTTAGTATATATACTTTAGTAGTATATACTACTAAAACTACATAGTTGTATATAAAACTACTACTTTCTACATTGAATAGTTTATTTTTCTGTATTATTACATTTATAGATGCTTCAGCCTGCCATCCCCAAGTTCAGTTTATTGCTGAGAATTCATGTCAGGGTGACATTAAAATGATTTGAACACACTCAGGTTTTCTTGCACAACCCAAAGTGGGCAAAGGTTCAGCATCAGCCCAACTCCAACCAAGTGCAGGATGCTGAATGCAGCCCTACCTGGGTGCTCTCACATCCTGTGATCTGTCTGAGAGCAAACTCCAGCTTAAAATATCAGAAATGGCATTTTACAGAACCTGCCCCTGCAGCTGTTCTGCAGGAGAATAATCCAATGCTGCCAGTGGAAGGATGATGAGTTCCAGCCCTTCCCAGGAGTCAGAGTCCTGGAGGGATCTGCACAGAGCTGCAAGGTCAGAGCACAGGGAAAGCTTTTGCCACATGCAGGAGTTCATTAAGTGTCTCATTGGCCTTGTAGCAGCTTTGAGGACATCAAGTATTAAATTTCAGCCCATGGAGTTCAGGTCTAATCTCAAATCTTATTCCACACACTTGGAGCCAGCTCAGCAGCACAGAAGACTTTTCCCAGCCTTATAAGGTTTGGAGTGGGAGCAAGTGTTCTGCATCAAATGAAAAGCAAAGTATTTAGACTTTATAGATTTACTTTGTACACTCCCATTCCCATCTCATTTCCCTGCTGAAAAGCCTAAATTGTCCCCTAATTTTATTAAGGTTGTAAAACTCACAATGAACCAGGAACTTCTGCCAGCAAATGGAAGAAGGATAAAAACTGAGTAGAGAGTGTTCATTTTCTCACCAGACTCAGGTGTGAATTGCCTGATTGATGAAAACTTCAAAGTCTAAAGAAATATGGCAAACAAATAGCAAGAAGAAAGTCCTAATAGCAAGATAAGCTGCAAAAAAATAAACTCAGAAGTATTTCATGTAACCTGCATTTTACAAAAAAAACCTAACTTAGAAGAAGTGTTATCATTTGCATTTTTTAAATTTTTTTTTTAAATACAGAATGTAAACAAAGTGACCTGCAGGGAGTACAGAGCTGCTTGCAGAGCAAGATAAAAGCAGAGCCTGATTTCTGCAGGCTTTTCCTGGTGGCTCCATCCCTGAGGAGCAGGAGCTCCGTGCTGAGATCCAGGTCACTGTCACCCCAGGTGACTCAGAGCACTCTGACACACACAGGGGCCAAACCCACTCTCACCACACCCCAGTTTCACTGCCATTAAAAATCTAAAGCAATCTGAGCTAATTACAAGGAACAAACCTTTAAGACATCTTTGTAAACTCAGTTCCCCCTCCCTATCTGCATGTACCACTCTGAATGTTCTTTAAAATGTTAAAAAGTGATTCAAGAAATTGAAAATGAAGTGATTCATCTCTTTTCCCAACATCTACAACTGAACACTGCAGTGATTTTTCAGTCCTCTTTTATCAAAAGGAGGTTTTGAAAGTTATTTCCCACCCTCTAAACAATGGCCCTTTTGGTTTGAGGTACTTGACAAAGCTCAGCAATGTTGCATTTTCAGAAGTTTGAAGCAGTATTTGTGTGCAATTGTTACTTCTTAACAGGAAGACAAAAAGAACTGAGGTCACTGTGCTCAACAAGTGATGTACCTCCAATAAAATCTTACACTTTTACATCACTAAAATCGTTTCAATCTCTTTTGCACAATTGTGAACATCCTCTGTGTCCAAAACACTTGAAACATTTTAGCATAATTTAGCAGAAAAAAATGCTAAAAGGGAACACAAGAACCTCATTTAGTCCAGCAGCATCTCCAACATTTTAGAGGACAAGCAAACAACCTTCCAGTTTAACAAGTTACAAGTTCTGAGCTGTCAGCACTGGCTCCAAAAGCAGCAGAATTCCAAACCTGCCAAACCCACCAAGTCAAACAAACCAAGCAGAAAGTGTTTGTTTAGCCAGGAGTTGGATCAGTGTCCCCTGCAGCCCCTGTAGGAAATGCTGGAGTGTTTCTGTAGCCAGGCCCCAGCTCTGACAGCTGCCTGCAGATGTTCTGAGCAGTTTTATCAAAGACAATTGCCAAAAATGATCCTCCTTGTTATCCTTCCTTGGCCTCCACTGTCCTTAAGCCTGACTGTGTTCACAGGGGTCTGAGGATGAGGGAAGAGATGAGGATCTGACTCCATGTTTCAGAAGGCTGATTTATTATTTTATGATATATATTACATTAAAACTATACTGAAAGAATAGAAGAAAGGATTTCATCAGAAGGCTGGCTAAGAATAGAATAGGAAAGAATGATAACAAATGTTTGTGTCCCAGACAGAGTCCGAGCCAGCTGGGCTGTGATTGGCCATTAATTAGAAACAACCACATGAGCCCAACCCCAGCCCCACCTGTTGCATTCCACAGCAGCAGATAACCAATGTTCACATTTTGCTCCTGAGGCCTCTCAGCTTCTCAGGAGGAAAAATCCTAAGGAAAGGCTTTTCCATAAAATGTCATGGCTACACTTAAGGATCAGCTGAAACTTCTGAACTGGGCTTTCACCTGCACCAACACTTGGCAGCCTCCCCTGAGGCCTTCCTGGGTGTCCCAGATGTTTGCTGAGCATTTCTGGCCTCAACCACCAGCCCTGGTGATGAGCAGAACCACAGCCCCTGGATTTCACCTGGAAACCCCCCTGGGTTTTATGCTCAGAACTGAACCAAGCCCTGGATTTCCAGTTTAACATGGAAAGAACCACACTGGCTCAGCACAGGTACAGCATGCCTTGGAAAAAGGACAATTCCAGGTCTCATTCCAGTGTCCCCAAGGACTGCTTGGAAATGCAATCAAATCCCTCAGGGGACCAGATCATTCAAAGGCTTCTCTGATCCCAAATCTCTGCATTTGTGCAGCAGCAGCTTCACCAACACAATTCTCTCTCAGTTGTTGGGTTTGGTGCAAAAGTGCAAACAATAATCAAGATTCTGTGCTCAAACTGCAAGGAAAGAACTCAAATTTGGGTGGTTTTTGGGTAGTAGTAGTAGTTACTTAAGCAGTAGTTACTTCCTCTCATTTCAGGATTATTTCTCACCCCATGAGCATTATTTTGTTATCAACAGCAAGCACCCCTTACCACTTTGTAACCTAGAGGAAACAATAAATCTAATTTTATCAAAAACAAATAACAAAAAAAGGCTACACTTGATAAGTGATGTGCACATTTCCTTGAGCACCACTGGGTTTCTGAGATAATTTCTGGTCCAGAATGAAAGTTCTCAGAGAGGAGC